CATTTGATTGGCGGATTTTAGGAAAGAGGTGGTGTACGTGCCGGTGGACTTGCAGTTTGGCGCGGGGGGGGGGGGGGGGAGTTTACCTATTGATGGTGTGAAAAGGGGGAATTTATAAGAGCTGCGAAAGTTTGGGGTACCACTACTTGAAAAATATACTGTACCATTGAAATTAGTTTAATGTTTAGTTCGATTTAGAACATCTTTCCAATGGTTGCTTAATTTGAAACCATCCTCAGTTGAAATTGTCTGTGTTTGTAGATATGAATTGCTTCATGAACAAATCTCTGATAAAAGCCCGTGGGTTTGCAAAGAACCTTGCTATCGGAGAAAATTATATCGTGATCCCCCACAGCGTTGTAACAGTGATCAGCCACGGCAGAATTTTTCTGCCGTGGCTGATCACTGTTTCAATGAGCCATTTCAATGCTAAATTATATGCTAATTCCTTTGTCAAGGCGCGTGGTCTTTTTCTTCTCACACAGCTTAAAGGTCGTGATCTAAGCGTGGCTTCTTCTACTCCAGCGCTGTCCTCCAGACAGTCTCGTCCCTTCACCTGATGAAGGCCGCTTGTGTTGTGGCCGAAACGTCGTGATTTTTTGTTATTTTATTTTCACCTACGTGACTTTACCCAATAGAACCAAAGAGTATGGATCCTAGCAGTCACGAAAGCTTTAAATCTAGAATACAGTAGCTGTCTTTGCGGAGTCGTGAGTGATTAGTTCAGGCATATTGTTGACATCACTGGTGATGCAGGGAGTGGATGTGTCTTGTGAACGTGAGGCAGTGGTAGGTCATGTCGGGCAGAACAAGATTTCCCCAAGTCCAATCCACGCCACCCACCACCATTCAAACACAAATTAATTCATCTCGTTACATGCTGAACGTGCCTGATGATTTCAAAACGCATCCCACGTGATGTATTAGAATGCCGATTCAAATTAAGAGAGCTCTCTCTAACGTGGGGAAAATAAGTACACACACGCGAGATATTTATTTGGATCAGGTCCTGCCACGTGGAACAAAGATCCCCCGAGGGGGAGTTGGTGTGCCTCAGAACTACGCCCGGCCGTTTTTGTCTCTCCTAGTCTTGATGGGTAACCATTTGCAGCTGAGCCGATTTAGGAGAGGCCCAGGATCGGATCAGATAATCTCCACTGGTGTGAGCCACGGCGAGGATTCGAACTGGGGACGCCAGGGTTCGTGGCACAGGTTCGCGAACCACACCGCGGTGTGTGTGTGTGTGTGATACGCAGAGCCGTCCCTAGGGTACGGCGAATTGGGGGCGACCGCTCCGGGCCCTGCGCTTTGGGGGGTGGGGTCCGCGCTTCGACGTCACGGTGCCAGATGTAATATTTTAGTTTGAAGGCATCAGATGGCCCACACAGACACGCCGCACGCACTAACGGCACGTCGTTGCGATACGATTATTTCACTCGTTCATATCTAACAAGAGAGGGTCCTGATTGCCCGTCAACGTCGGGCAGTTTCGCCAGCATCGGTTCAAGCAAGCCTGACTGCTGATGAGATAGTAAACGTCGAAACCGGTCCAGAGTTGTGCTCGTACAGAGGACCAGTGCTGCTGATGAGATGCACTCCCAGAATGCCGCGCGTGTGGCTGGTGGGTTGCGTCGAAATAAAATCTACTTTTTAACGTGGCGAGAGACAAATATGGGAAAGATGCATGATTTAGTTGAACAGGCCTAGTAGAACTCTTGCTGTCCTTGTGAGTCGGCTGACAAGTCGGGCTCATTGAGCCAAATTAAGCCCCGACAGACGCGACCAAGTCTTCCTAAAATAAAACAAATATCACTGTAAAAGTTTTCTATTTGCACACGCGCGCGCACACACACACACACGTGAATACAATACTAAAAAAACAAAATAATACCTCAATGTATAAGATGTTGCCGCTGTGCTTCTGAGCACGCCCTACCATCAATGTGGTACACGTTGTACGTGATAGAGTCGAACTCGCGCTTTGTTATGTCTCAAAGCGAAGGCTTTTTCCGAGTGCAGTAAGACACCCGTTGCCACCACGCCTCCTCTTCTCTCCCACAGCCTTCTCCAATAACTTCACGCCTCTCTTATACAATTATCATCTCCATTGCTTCTAATCTCCGCCTTCATCCCATGCCCTCCTCCAGCCTGGTCATGGATCATCTCAATTATCTTGGCCTCTCGTCCTCCATTATTTTGCAGTCCATGCACTGCCTTTAAATCCTCGATTTCTCCATCCTCCTGCTACCAAGCGTCCCGGTTTGGCCGGGACAGTCCCGGTGGTTCGGAAATTGTCCCCACACCCCCCTCCCCCCACTTAAACGTGTTGCTCTTCACAGTCGCATGATTTTGTTCCAATGTCATTAAAAAAAGAAACATCAGCTGGCTCCAAACAGCGACTCATTGTGGGCAGAGGGCCGGGTTACCTGAGTGGTGGGCGGGGTTACCGAAGTGGTGGGCGGGGTTACCTGAGCGGTGGGCGGGGGTTACCTGACTAGTGGGCGGGACTAACCTGGCAGTGGGCGGGATTATACGTATAGTGGGCGGGACTAGCCGGGGTTACCTCGGTCGTAAGCGGGGTTACCTGAGTAGTGGGCGGGGTTACCAAAGTGGTGGTCGGGGTTACCTGACTAGTGGGCGGGACTAACCGGGCATTGGGCGGGGTTACATAACTAGTGGGCGGGACTAGCCGGGGTTACCTCGGTCGTAAGCGGGGTTACCTGAGTAGTGGGCGGGGTTACTCGGTTAGTGGGCGGGGCGAGCCGCATAGTGGGCGGGACTATGCAAAGTGGGCGAGTCTGATAAAGGGAGTGGGCTGTCGGGCTTCCCCCGTGTGTCCTGATTGAGCCTCCATGAAGTCTTCTCTGCTGCACTCACTCCCATCTCGTCCACCCCACCCACCACCGCATCTCTCTCCCTTACACTGCGCAGAGCCCCCTCTGCTGTTTCATTTCGCTTAGAGAATCTACGCGTCCCCCTCTCGTCCATCGCAGCTTCACGGTCTCGTGCACGTCTGTGAACAAAGCGCTTCATAGCTCATCGGATCTGTCCAGCTTTAAACACAATGGTCTGATTCAGATTTTTTTTCCACGCGTCCGTTTCGCGTTTTTGTTCGTTCAGGGTGGGACACATTGAAAGGTGATGTCACCTATCAACGTGGATTCTTACATTCGAGATACCAGGAGTCGAGCTGGTGATAATCTATGCTCTTAATACACACTCATTTGGGATTGTTTAACACGTAGGCTTTCGCGACTAATATCCATAAGGGGCCGTCCATAAATGACGTCACGCGATTTTGGACGATTTTTGACCCCCCCCCCTCGTCACACGGCGTCACAAAAAGTCAGACCCCCCCCCTCAAGTATGACGTCACAAAGGTCTGCCCCCCCCCCCCACAAATAAAACATGCTTCAAATGGCTTTAAACTATTGTCATTGTAGTGCGTTTTGAATGTGGCGCTGCACCCTGATGTTGTAGGAGAAAACATGTATTAAAAAGTCTATTTAATTAAGTAGAACGTGTTGGCTATATTTATTTAAAGTTGCGCATTTTGATGTGACGTCACATTTCTCACCACCCCCCCCCCCTTGTCACACATCGTCACAAATGTCTGACTCCCCCCCCAGGTGCGTGACGTCATTTATGGATGGCCCCTAATACAGGTTTTTTGGGGGGTTATGACACGTAAATATGAATGTGTCGTTAAGCCTGGCTGCTAATTAGCTGCGTCGGGTGGTGGCGAGTTTGACAACACATTTATATTCTTTGGGTCTTTTGGTAAAGTCACGTAGATAGGTTCAAAGAAAATAACAAAAAAACTACGACGTTTCGATCGCAACACAAGCGGTCGTCATCATTCCTATCTACGTGACTTTACCGAAAGACCCAAAGAATGTGAATTCCTGCAGTCACGAAAGTTTTTAAGTCAAGATTTAACACATATCTATTTAGGCGATCTAACCCCCCAAAAAACCTGTATTATGAATAATGTGGGATTGCATACAGAAATCATCGCCCCGTTCCTGGTAGACTAATGTCCAGTTGCAGGCCAGGTGCTGAGTCGCCTCGTGCCACATAGAGACCACTGCCACTAAGAGGTTTGAGATGAGATGCAAGTCGCTTATCGTTTAAAGAGTTATCGGGACCCTTACAGCCACTATAGGGCGCGACAGGGAACAAAAACTAAAATTGTATTTTCCGGGTAAAGCCCACTGAGCTATTAGCTTCTGAGGCTACTTGGCCACACCTGATAGCTCATCGAAGTGGATTTTTTTCGTATCATCGCACGTGGGGAATTTATAATCGCAGGGTGGGGAACCGAAAGGAAATCTGAGAACAATCCACGTGACCACCACGGGGGGAGAGAGAGATCACGCGGACGACTCTAAGTAGTGTAAAACAGGCATCGTAAGGGTCCGGGATCGAACCCAGCAGGTCACAAATGATAGCCCAGCGAAGTGGTTTTATAACGTGGAAATGTGTATCAGCCAAATCATCCAAACGCATGTGGATTCTCAATGTTGAGGGACAAACCGGAGGACCCGGAGAAAAAACCACGCGACCACGGGGAGAGAGAGACGTGAAAACTCCAAATATACAGCAGGCGTCAAGGTCGGGATCGAACCCACGACCTCCTGCGTAACCAGGCGAGAGAAGGATAACGTCTCGCCACCTCACGTCCATTCCTGTCCGCGATCAACATCAGTGGTGATTTCCGAACCGGTCCTGGCCAACGTGGTTTAAGTATGGCCACACACGATTCCCACGACCGACAACAACGTGGAGAGGCATTCATCCAGCAGTGGATTGACAAAGCGGCTGTAAAAAAACAAACGAATTGGCTGAGACAGCTCGACTCTCGAATTCCCTCCCATGCATCTCGTCTCGTTTAAACAAGCTCTTATAATAACGTTGGCACAAAAACGTACAACAATCTTAAACCCTTAGCAACTGCACGTTGCTAGCAGCTTTGCAATTAATTTACGCCATATGTTGAATTTAGGATGTAAATAAATATTTATGTACACAATAGATAATAAAATGCACGCGTAGGGAGCAACATATTTTACAAAACAAAAAACGCCAACATTGATCATGGCATATGACAGCAAACATTACCGTATTCTCTGATGTATAAGACGTTCCGGAAAGTAAGACGCATCCCGAACTTGCGTCGGGTATCAATAAGGTTACACAAATCTGATCACACATCACCGAGCGGATTATACGACGCACCCACAACTTTTGTTTAAAAAATACAGTTGTAAAAAATAAATGGTATCTTATAATCGGGAGAATACGGTATCTCAATAAACCTGAAGTATTCCGTACTCGTAATCTCAAAGGCATTTTTGTTTGCGCCGCAATGATTGGAGGAACGGTGGCGCAGTGGTTAGGGCACCGTGCCCTGAAATCCAACCGACGCGAGTTGGATTCCCGGCCACGCGTCAGTGGCGAGCGAAATCTAAACCGGTACTGCCCACCACCCCCTCTCCCCCTTTCACTAATTCGCACTGATCAGCGTGGTGAAGTATGGCCAAACAATCCCCATCACAGGCACGGCGTGGTGGAGGCCTTCATCCAGCAGAGGATTGACAAATATCTGTAAATTGTAATATTATTACTCTGTAAAATATTGATCCCAAATAAGATGATATTGTACGCATGGGGATTATTCGGCCGGACGAGTTAATACACCTTCATGAAACTGTGGATTGGTTAACAGGCGTCAGTGAAGGAGTTGAAAACAAATGCACATATTTGTAGCCTATGTTACACGTCTGTGATCCAGCAACTTCGGAGGCAAGGGTTTGCGGACAGTGAAGTGACATCGTTGAGAAAACTGCGAGTTCGTGAGCACCAATTAATGTCGGCACAGTGCAAGAGGAAGGTGGTGTGTGGCAAGAACCATGCCCAGCCGGCTTTGTCTCCCGAGTGATGATGGGTATTCATTTAAGACAGAGTCGATCTAGAAGAGGCCCAGGATCGGTTCACATAATCGCTGCTGATCATCACGGACAATGCCAGTGATGCCACCACACAATTCCATCGCTTCCTTCCACATGCTAGATCCCACAAAGGTTGCACAGTTGACAGATACCAGAACTCCAAGATCCCCTCTTCACAGTCCACCACCACCACCGTCTGAGTTTGGCTTTAGGTCTTCCCCGCTCGTTATCCAATTTGACACTTCCTTCAAAGAGGCCTCTTGCAGTCTCATCATCACCAGCGTCTGAATTCAGGCCTATTTCTGGCTCTATGAGACTCATTTGCATGCATCCTCATATGCACAGCCCATTGTGGTCCAAAATTACCTCGATAAAAACAAACGATCATCATTGTCATGATCATCATCATGGTCCTCATCATCTTCTTAAGCATCATTATCATCGTCGTCGTCCCTCCTCGGTCAATAAGTGGAGCACCGCGCAGAGAAGCCGCATCATTAAATTTGATGCCGAGGAGTCAAAAGATTGCGGGTATTTTCATGTTTTTTTTGTATCTCAGAAACACTTGATCCCTCCATAGAAGCGTAAAATCTCCACGACTGGCCCTGGACCAGATGTCAATGCAAAGACTTGCATTTACATCAATCGATCTATTTAATTGTGTGGCTATCTGTACGTATGAGTGGGCGTGCCAGTGTCCACCATCTTGGGTGCACTGTGAAAAAAGTGCACAGTGCATATTTTGGGCTGGGTCAGGTCCAGGGTAGGGTCCGGGTTCGGGTTGAGGCGAGTTTGGTTTTGGATTGAGCTTGGGTCTGTGTCCAAATTGAATCTGAGTCCAGGCTGGATCTGGGTCTAAGCATGATCTGCGTCCAACCCTGGGACCAACTGGGTCTGGGTCCAGGCAGGGTCTGGGTCCAGCCTGTATATATAGGTCGATGTTGGGTCTGGGTCCAGGCTGGTTCTGGGTCCAGACCGAGTCTAAATCAAAGCTAGGTCTGGGGTCCATGTTGAGTCTGGATCCAGGCTGGGTCTGGGTCCATGTTGAGTCTGGATCCTGGCTGGATCTGGGTCCAGGAAGGGTGTGAGTCCAGGCTGGGTCTCGGTCCATGTTGAGTCTGGATCCAGGCTGGATCTGGGTCCATGTTGAGTCTGGATCCAGGCTGGATCTGGGTCCATGTTGAGTCTGGATCCAGGCTGGGTCTGGGTCCATGTTGAGTCTGGATCCAGGCTGGGTCTGGGTCCATGTTGGGTCTGGGTCCAGGCTCGATCTTGGTCCATGCTGAGTCTGGGCCCGGACCTGAGTCCAGAGCAGGCTCGGTTCCCATTGCTCAGAGGCCGCGCCCCCACGGCACACAGCTGCACGAGCGCGGGTGGGTGGCGTGGCCGGGGACGCAGACAACGCGAGGACACGGGGCTCGGAGACAGCTGCACGCACAGGACCACGCAGAATCAGCGAGAGGAAGACAGAGGCAGAGAGGAGATAGACATAGAGAGCGAGATATGCGACAGTTATATATTGCCTCACCAGTTAGCCACCCGCACTCAATATTGCATTTGTCCGTGGTGTAACTGCCCTTTCATTAAGTTCAGATATCTTAGCCTTTCATTTATCCTCCTGTACTGTGCCCATGGCTTAACTTGTTCATAGAATATTTCCAGGGCCCTTCCAACCCATAATCCTCTTCGCTGCAGGGATTTTTTTCTCTCCCAACTGACGCTCATCCCCGGACACATTTTTTTATTCTCTGAAATGAATCCCTGGGACTGTGCTGGTTTTACCCCCACATCCTCCACGCCCCCCCCCCCCCGCTCACCCCCCACCCCCGCACCTGCACGTTTCGGCGTGGAAGCGGCCACCGCGGCGCGCGCAGCCCTCGCGCGTCTCGGGGCACGCGCACTCGCAGCGCGCTCCGTGCGCGCTGCGAGTGCGGCGGCGGTGGCGTCGCGGGCACGCGCGCCGGCACACGCACGCGCACGACTCCTCGTCGAGCGCGCGACCCGGGCCGCACGTGCGCGCCGGGGGAGCCGCCAGCGGCGGATCCGGCACTGCGGGGGGAGCGGCGGGGTAGGGGATGGGAAGGGGGGGTGGGGGTTAATGCACCGGGTCAAAGGTGAAGATCGTTCAAGGTGGAGGGCTCCCAGGTTTCATGAAGCGCTTCGCTTCCTTGCGATTTGGTGGCTCGGCAGAAGAGCGAGTGGCTCGCGATCGGAAGGTTGCAAATTCCAATCCTCGTCTGCTATGAAAAAGGGCCAGTGCCGGAAACGTCGCCTTTTATATATACTCCTTTAGGGGCCACAGTATTGTTTACGAATGTGTTTTTATTTGATTAAAAGAGGGCGGCAAGACGCCTCCGCAGTGGGAAACACCGTCCGGAGTTGAAGAACGACGGTAAAATGTTTGCTCTGAAAAGTTGCTGTTTTACAATCGTGTTTTCTTCTCCTAATCATGAAGTATTTTCTCAGAATTCGTGCCAAACGTGGTACCACAACAACTTCTGTTTAACGATGATAAACGTTGCTGCTGCTGTTGCTCATGCTGCGCTACCGCTGAAGCCGAGTTGATAATGACGCTGCTGCTATTGCTGCTGATTATGATTATAGGACGTTGCTGCTATTCTGGCTGCTGCTGCTGCAGCCGATATTGCAGCTACTATTGCTGATGGTGACACTGCTTTCTGTGACCGGCGGAGAGATGGAGAGAGAAAGAGAGAGAGGGAGGGACTGCTCGTTTGCATATACTGTCTTTTTTTTTCTTTTCAAAAGTGAGATATGTCACGGGTGATGTCCCACACTCACGCCAGTAGCTGAGGTGTGGTGCCAGCAACGCTTCCAGTCTGGGCACGCAGGCGCACGAGAGGTCATCCCAGAGGTGCCCGGATCCGCATTCGACCTCGGCGCCTCCCCTTACGGGCGCGCAGCTGAGAGACGCGGGTAAACGACAATCCGCGTTGATCCCTCCGGCCACCTCTATCCGATCGACCGGAACGAACGAACGAACGAAATTTGTTGTTGATGTTTGTTTGCGCACGCAGACTCTGGACCGGGTCACGTGCTCGTGTGTTCATGATGAGGCACGCCGAGTCGCAGGAGCGTTCTTTCAAGAGGGTCCCTGGCCGCTTAGACTGGGTTTGTCTTATTGATTTATTTCAAGGCCTTTACATTGCCGCTCACCCACCAAGTGGCGAATATTTGAACCGGTATTCAAATTGGTGCCTGGTGCGTAAACAGCAGTCGGGGGGAGACAAAGGCGGCCGAGCGTGGTGCTGGGACACCCTCTCCCTCGTGTGCCGTGACGGCCTTCGTAGGTTGCTCGCGAACAGCGCTCACCACAACAGCCTGAATGGCCCACGTGACAGTTTTAGCAATCACTAGGCACGCACGTGCAGCGTGTACCGACTGTAGTCTGATTCAAATAGAAATGATTTGGTCGACTCGAAATAACGTATCGATGGGGTGTCGCGAGTCATGGTCGAGTTTGGTAAAGGCAGCTCAAGCCTAACCTCTAATTCGGACAACCTAGCCCTGTCCCTAACCCATTTAACTCGGTCCTAGCCCCGTGCCCTCGCTCTAACTCTAACCTCAACCCTAAACCCTATCCTTAATCCCTTAACCATCTCTCCTTGTCCTAACCCCTCGCTGTAGAACCGTACCAACAATTACGCGCGAGCACCGACATTAACCCTCGTCCCAAACCCCAAAACGTGACCCCCTAACCCTAGCCCCGAACCCCATAAACCCTAACCCCTTGCCCATACCCCTTAACCCCGAAGCTGGCCTTAAACCTCCATCGTCCATAAGCCCTTTAAGGCTTTAGCCCATCTCGAACGCTAACCGCGCGTGCGCTCTGCGGCTGGTGGCCTCCCCCACGGGGTACCCCGGGGTACCCCGTGGTACCCCGTGGCACCCCGTGGTACCCCGTGGCACCCCGGGGTACCCGCTCTCCGGAGTCTCCCCGAGGGCGCGGCGGATGATGGCGTGGGAGTGTCGCGCGGCGTCGGCACGGGACAGGCAGCGGCACGTGGTGTGGTTCACGAAGCTCACGGTCACGGCCTCCAGGCGAACCGAGCTCACGGAGATCTCGATCAGCTGCACGGACACACACACGACATACACAGCGCTATTGACACACACACACGACACACACATCGCTACTGACACACACATCACTATTGACACACACACACATCACTATTGACACACACACACATCACTACTGACACACACACATCACTACTGACACACACACATCACTATTGACACACACCCCTTTTGACAACAACGCTAAGTGGCGGTGACGCCACCACCGCGCTTGTACCAGGCTAGGTGCACGTTGATGCCACGCCGGCAGGAGGTCACGGGGCAGACCCAGCAGGTGCCACGGGTCGACTGAGATGACGGCTGGCCCATGCACCACCTGTGCCCCCTACTGTGCCAACACACATCCTTACAGACACACACAGGTCCTTATAGACACACACAGATATTTATAGACACATACAGACCCTTACGGACACACAGGTCCTCATAGACACACAAAGACAAAGATCCCCCGTATAGCCTGAACAGACCGTTGGGGCAAGTGCTGTTAGCGAGCACCTATGAAGGCTAGAACGTCTCCCCAGTGGCGATGTTTACACACCGCACCAGATACTAATTTCAGACTGAGTCAACCTAGGGGAGGCCCAGGACCGCATCAGATAATCGTCAGGTTCGTAGCGCAGCGTGGCGCTAACCGCTACACGACCGCCCGCCACACACAGACACACTCACACATTCTTATAGACACACACACATCCTTATAGACACACACAGATCCTTATAGACACACACAGATCCTTATAGACACACACAGATCCTTATAGACACACACACATCCTTATAGACACACACACATCCTTATAGACACACACAGATCCTTATAGACGCACACAGATCCCTATAAACACACACACATCCTTATAGACACACACATCCTTATAGACCAGACGTGGGCAAAGTACGGCCCCCGGGCCGTATACGGCCCGTTGGGCTTTTTAATCCGGCCCGCCGAATTTGTCTAACCTTTTAATGTAGACAATAAAGAAGTTCAAGTGAGGTAATTGGTTTGGGCGCAGGCCTCAGATGTTTTCATGATGTTTGATCAGTCACGTTACGACAAGTTTTTGTATTGTTCATGTTCGTGCAATGTGTTAAATTGCCTTGCAAATAAATGCTTTGCTACCTGTTAAAGGCCAAATCCTTTCATGTAATGATTTTTACACGTCATTTATATTAGTTCACACAAACACTCCATCCATCTGTTCTTGGCCCGGCCCCTCTGTCAAATTTTAGAACCCATTAAGGCCCGCGAGTAAAAAAAATTACCCACCCCTGTTATAGACACACACACATCCGGCAAGACACACATATTATTATAGACACACACACATCCCTATAAACACACACAGATCCTTATAGACACACATAGATCCCTAAACATACACAGATCCAAATAGACGCACACACTTACCTATAGGCATACACACAGTTCCCTATACACACACACATAGATCCCTACAGACACACACACACATAGATCCCTACAGACACACACACACACATAGATCCCTATAGACACACATACAGATCCCTATATAAACACACACATAGATCCTTACAGACACACACACACACTTCCCTACAGACACACACACATCCCTACAGACACACACACACAGATCCCTACGGACACACACACATCCCTACAGACACACACACATCCCTACAGACACACACACAGATTCCTACGGACACACACACACACATCCCTACACACACACACACACATCCCTACAGACACACACACATCCCTACAGACACACACACACACATAGATCCCTACAGACACACACACACATAGATCCCTACAGACACACACATAGATCCCTACAGACACACACACACATAGATCCCTACAGACACACATACAGACACACACATCGTCTCTCATCCGCCCTACCTATCTGGCCTCTCTATGTACAATGAAGAAGGGCCATTGACCGAAACGTCACCAACTTTATACTCATCACGACGATGATGATGATATCAATAACAATTATGATGATTATGACTCCGATGATAAATCAATGCAAAGATAACCGTGATGACGAAGGTGGCCGTGTCGGTGATACGCGACTACAACGATATCTTCAACTCGCATGGCCCCCTAAAGGCCCCCACAACTCCAAGACAGATTCACTTCAAAAAAAGACTTCACATAAAAACGAAATACTCAAAGTGTGTCAGTGTGTGTGTGCCAGTGTGAGTGTGATACTAAAGTGTGTCACTGTGTGTGCCAGTGTGAGTGTGATACTCAAAGTGTGTCAGTGTGTGTGTGTGCCAGTCTCCCAGCGTGAGTGTGATACTAAAGTGTGTCAGTGTGTGTGTGTGTGCCAGTGTGAGTGTGATACTAAAGTGTGTCAGTGTGTGTGTGTGTGCCAGTGTGAGTGTGATACTAAAGTGTGTCAGTGTGTGTGTGTGTGCCAGTGTGAGTGTGATACTAAAGTGTGTCAGTGTGTGTGTGTGCCAGTGTGAGTGTGATACTAAAGTGTGTCAGTGTGTGTGTGTGTGTGTGCCAGTGTCCCAGCGTGACACTAAGTGTGTCAGTGTGTGTGTGCCAGTGTTCCCAGCGTGAGCGTGGCACTTAAGTATGTCAGCGAGGGTGTCGTCGAGTAAGTAGCTCTGTGAGTGAAGCAGCTGAGCGCACGAGTCACGGACAAAACGCAACGTCGCACGTTTAAATTCTGCAGCGTAATCAGACGAATCTAAGGGACGCCAAGGGTTTGTTGAGGGAGTGAGGACTCTGGGCTTGATCGCACGGAGGAGAAGGGTGAGGTGCTCAGGCCAACGCGTACAACACTCAACACGCTCGTCAATGACACTGCTTGGCCTTTGAAAAAGATATATAAACGGGCGACGTTTCGGGTAATCACTACCTTCTTACAGCACGTAGAGAGAGAGGTCAGAGTGGGTAAGATTTGTAGACTGCACGTCGTCGTTGTTATTGTTGTCGTATCAGACTTAAGCACAGACGAGGAAGGCATCGACATGCCGAAAGGTCACGAGGCAGGGAATTTCAGACTCTCAGGAGCCGCAGGAGAAGGAAGAGCGAGCGAGCTACCATGGAAGCCGTCGATTGAACCGATAGCGACGATGACAAGGATGACAACAAAAAAACACGCAGAAAATATATATGTGGCGACGTTTCGGACAACTGCCCTTCGTGAACACGTAAACGAAAAGTGCTATGAAAAAGGGCCATTGCCCAAAACGTCGTCATTTTTTTTTCTTGCTAAGGCCACAATGCTATTGACGAATGTGTTGAGTGATGTTGTTGTTGTTGTTGCGCACCACTGCGAACGCAACAGCAGCAGCAGCGGCAGAATGACCAAATCAATTGTTGTTGCCGATCGTGATGACCATAACGGCGATGATGGCCGTGGCAGTGGTGGTCACCACGACTCGTAGTGACAGACGAACTTCCTCCGCACCGTACGTAGCCTACACGTGCATCGTCGGAGGTGTGGCGGTGAGGGTGCCGGTGGGTGGGATGAAGGACAACAAACTAAAAGCAACAACAACAACACAAAGTGGGGGGGGGGTCGTTCGTTTTTGAACCGTGGCGTGGCAGCGCGAACCGTCTTGCTGATGTACTCGTAGCTCGTGTTCACGCACTGCAGCCCCTCCGAGTTGCAGCAGCCGCCGCAGCGATGCAGCGCCACGCAGGGCGGCTTGAAGAACGAGGCGCTGCCCGAGCCTCCCCCCTCGGCGTCCGAGCCGCCGGGGCCCCAGCCGCTGCCCCACGCAGCCCCGGGGGCCACCCCGGGGGCCGCTCTCTCGCCCGCCCGCTCGCGCGCCACGTCGACGCACACCTCGCGCGGCACGCAGCGCGTCTTGTGCCACTCGCGGTCGATGCCTTGAGGAAGAGGGGGGGGGGGTGGAGGTTTGGGACGAGTGACACCTTCATTAAAATCGTCAGCAGCAGCAGCAGCAGCATCAACAGCAGCAGCAACAGCAGCAGCAATAGCAGCAGCCTCATCATAATTGATGATGCCCATGGTGATGATGACGAAGATGCCCGTGATGACGATGCCCATGATGATGATGATGCCCGTGATTATGATGGTGATGATGATGCCCGCGATGATGAGGGGCATGATGATGATGGCCTTGATGATGCCCATGATAATGATGATGCTCGTGATGATGATGATGATCGTGATGATGATGATGATGATCACGCACTCTCCCAGTTAATGTTGAACGTGGCCGGAGTCCCCGAACGCTTGAGGCGACAGCGAACGAGGCTCCACGGCGACACCCCCTGTGCACATCATCACGGGTACCCACATCATCATCATCATCACAGACACCCTCTGTGCACATCATCACGGGTACCCACATCATCATCATCATCACAGACACCACCTGTGCACATCATCACGGGTACCCACATCATCATCATCATCATCACAGACACCCCCTGTGCACATCATCACGGGTACCCACATCATCATCATCATCACAGACACCCTCTGTGCACATCATCACGGGTACCCACATCATCATCATCACAGACACCCCCTGTGCACATCATCACGGGTACCCACATCATCACCATCATCATCATCACAGACACCCCCTGTGCACATCATCACGGGTACCCACATCATCATCATCATCATCACAGACACCCTCTGTGCACATCATCACAGGTACCCACATCATCATCATCATCATCACAGACACCCCCTGTGCACATCATCACGGGTACCCACATCATCATCACCATCATCACAGACACCCTCTGTGCACATCATCACGGGTACCCACATCATCATCATCATCACAGACACCCTCTGTGCACATCATCACGGGTACCCACATCATCATCATCACAAACACCCTCTGTGCACATCATCACGGGTACCCACATCATCATCATCACGGGTGCACACCTGACACACTTTGTTATCCCACTCACGCTGGAACACTGGCAACAATAACAACAACCGCCATTCGCCACTAAGTGGCGGTGCCGTCACCACGACGCTTGTGCCAGGCTATGTGCACGTGGAGGCCACGTGAAGTGTCCAACGCCCGCTGACAGGAGGTCACGGGGCAGACCAAGCAGGTGCCACGAGTCGACTGACTGAGATGGCTGGCCGATGCACCACCTGTGCCCCCTACTGTGCCAACTTGCTGTGCTTTAGCCACCCCGCGCTCCGCTCGGTGTTGTAAGCGTCGTTCCTCCGCCCTCCGTTGTTGTTGGAGGACGCCTGCCTCCAACTGCCCAGTAGCGGCCTTCACGAGCCTCCTCCACAGAAGCCGATCTTGACACCGCTGATACCACTCATCGACAAGTCCACTCAGCTACACATCCTCCTGTACCACATCACTCCATCTCTTCTGTAGCTCGTGCCGCTCCCGTTGAGCCCCCTCTATCCGGCCGAACGAAAGCTGTTTATGCATGCGGTGGCTGGGCATGCGGGCTACATGACCCAGCCAACGCAGCCTTGCCCGCCGGAGGAGCTCACCGATGGGACTTTGTCCAGGTCTTTCAAGGATTTGTGAGCTTCTCACACAATCCAGCCTGGTTAAATCCAGGATGGATCCGTAGGCAGGCCAGCCTAAATGTTTCTAACCAGTGAAGATGTTCCATTAGGGGGGTCCACGTTTTGCAAGCGTAGATAAGGGAGGGCATGACTGTGGCCGAGAAGACATGAAGCTTCGTATGGAGCGACAGACCAGGTAGCTTCCACACAGCGTTACGCAACCGATGAAAAGATAATGCCGCTCGACTGATTCGGAGTGAGACCGCTGATGTCAAACAGGAGCCGGTCATGAGCACACTGCCCAGGTATGGGAATCTCTCCACTCTCTCCACAACTACCCCATTACCAATTGGGAGTTGTGGGGGTGGAGTGTCCGATGGTACAAAATACCCAGGCAGGTGCTTAGTTTTGGTGGGGCTGATGGTAAGGCCCCACCTCTTAGTGGCATGCCCCAGTTCAGCAGCAGCGTCTCCAACTCCCCCTCTGAGTGAGCAGCAATTACCAGATGATCGGCATACATAACGTGGTTGATCAATAGGGAGCCATCTCTTTACCGCACCCGACCATCGATCAGCCTCCCATTGTATCTGAACGAGACGGAAATTCCTCCGATACAGCCATCAAAGGCTTCACGAACTACATGGTCGAAATAGATGTTAAATAATGTGGGAGCCAGAGGACATCCCTGTCGCACACCAACAGGGAATGTCTCCGATTCCCAGCCACGTAGTTTTACCCAGGCCCGCTCACCATCATGAAGGTCCTTAATGATTGTGAGCAGAGAGTCAGGGACTCCAGAAGCACGAAGAACAACCCAGACCCCAGGCCTACTGATGGTATCATAGGCCTTGACCAGGTCAATAAAGCAGAGATGTAGGTCTTGTTGGAATTCCCTGCACCTCTGCTGTAGTAGTAAGCCTCCTTATTCTCTGACGTGGGATGCTGTAGACGATTAAAGTGGTCCTGTTACTTTTTCTCAGCCAGCCTGAACACCTCTGTGAGCCAGGGTCACTGGGGAGGTCTGGACCGTGTACCCAAAGCAGCCATTGCAGCTGCTTGAACCACAGTCCTGAACCTCGCCCATTTCCCTCGACATCAGGAGCAGTGGAGGACAATGCTAACCCCAGCCGCAAGCGATGATGAAGTTCTCGCTTGCAACTTTCATCAGCTAGCTGAAACCAGGCCACTATGGGTTTGAATGGGGTCCTGGGTGTACACCCACCACCGGAGTGGAAGAATGGCAGGCGCATCTTACAGATGACAAGTAGATGGTCAGAGGGCAGATTAGCTCCACGGTACGTCCTGGTGTCAAGGACATGGGTCCGCATCCGCTGTTCCGTCACTATGTAGTCCAGCAGATGTTCTTGCTTGGACCCGGCATGCATCCATGATGTTGTGTGGATGCGCCGATGTCGGAACAGCGTGTTGGTAATTACAAGCCCATGGGCTGCACAAAAATCTATCAGCCTCCTGCCGTTGTTATTGAGCTAATCTGGCCCATGCCTTCCAATCACTCCAGCCAGGTGCCAGCATCACGGGCAACTCGGGCATTAAAGTCACCCAACAAGATGACTCTATCCCGAAGGGCCACTTTAGCTAGCACCTGTGACAGGAGGTCATAGAAGGCATCTGACTCATCTGCCTTGCCTGCATCCCTCCACGGATGTTCGTCTTTGGTGTGGGCATAAGTATCCACGACCACCACTCCTCACCTCCGGTTGATGGGAAGGCGAGCCCAAAGTAGCCTGGGGCTTACAGCTTCAAACACCCCACTGCCACGCTCCCACGCCCCCTTCATTATTTTGTTCAGAAGAAGAGTCACTCCCTGTTGTTTGGCAGTCTCCTGCCCCGAGTAGAGGACTGTCCACTCCTCATGGTGGCAGGAGCCAGAGCCGGTCCACTGGACCTCCTTAATACCACAGAGATCCAGGCGGTACCGGTCCAGCTCCCGACAGAGGAGTGGCAGCCTCTCCTCTGCAGTGAGCATTCGAACATTCCACGTGGCCACCCGCAGTGGCTTTTTGCAGTTTCTGGAGGAACCCCGAGGGTAAGGATTCAATCTCCTGGCTCCGCCAAATGGGGTTTGGCCAGGAGACGTCATGGATGCCTGTCCCCCCAGGGCCTCCGGTACAAACTTAATTAGAGTGTTATTTCGTGGTTTAGTGGTACTTGGATTGAAGGTGGAGGGGTTACCAGCCCCTCGCACCCGTCCAGAGCCCCCTTTGGCCGCTGTGGTGGCTACAAACGCCATGAGGGGAATGGCCAATCGAAATTTGCCCTCCCCCCATGGCACTGATCACCACAGCGTTACCGTCCAGCACCAACGATGAGGTAGGGGGTTGTTTTAGGGCAATGGCACACACACGCTGACACACTTTATTATCACACTCACACTGGTAACTGGCACACACTGCCACACTTTAGTGTCACACTCACGCTAGGACAATGGCACACACACACTGGCACACTTTATTATCACACTCACGCTAGGACACTAGCACACACTCACTGACACACTTTAGTATCACACTCACACTAGGACACTAGCACACACTCACTGACACACTTTAGTATCACACTCACACTAGGACACTAGCGCACACTCACTGACACACTTTAGTATCACACTCACACTAGGACACTAGCACACACTCACTGACACACTTTAGTGTCACACTTACACTAGGACACTAGCGCACACTCACTGACACACTTTAGTATCACACTCACACTAGGACACTAGCACACACTCACTGACACACTTTAGTATCACACTAACACTAGGACACTAGCGCACACTCACTGACACACTTTAGTGTCACACTCACACTGGGACACTGGCACACACTGACACACTTTAGTATCACACTCACACTAGGGCACTAGCACACACTCACTGACACACTTTAGTATCACACTCACACTAGGACACTAGCACACACTCACTGACACACTTTAGTGTCACACTCACACTAGGACACTAGCACACACTCGCTGACACACTTTAGTATCACACTCACACTAGGACACTAGCGCACACTCACTGACACACTTTAGTATCACACTCACACTAGGACACTAGCACACACTCACTGACACACTCTAGTATCACACTCACACTAGGACACTAGCACACACTCACTGACACACTTTAGTATCACACTCACACTAGGACACTAGCACACACTCCCTGACACACTTTAGTGTCACACTTACACTAGGACACTAGCGCACACTCACTGACACACTTTAGTATCACACTCACACTAGGACACTAGCACACACTCACTGACACACTTTAGTGTCACACTCACACTGGGACACTAGCACACACTCACTGACACACTTTAGTATCACACTCACACTGGGACACTGGCACACACTGACACACTTTAGTATCACTCACACTGGTAACTGGCACACACTGCCACACTTTAGTGTCACACTCACGCTAGGACAATGGCACACACACTGACACACTTTATTATCACACTCACGCTAGGACACTAGCACACACTCACTGACACACTTTAGTATCACACTCACACTAGGACACTAGCACACACTCACTGACACACTTTAGTATCACACTCACACTAGGACACTAGCGCACACTCACTGACACACTTTAGTATCACACTCACACTAGGACACTAGCACACACTCACTGACACACTTTAGTGTCACACTTACACTACGACACTAGCGCACACTCACTGACACACTTTAGTATCACACTCACACTAGGACACTAGCACACACTCACTGACACACTTTAGTATCACACTAACACTAGGACACTAGCGCACACTCACTGACACACTTTAGTGTCACACTCACACTGGGACACTGGCACACACTGACACACTTTAGTATCACACTCACACTAGGGCACTAGCACACACTCACTGACACACTTTAGTATCACACTCACACTAGGACACTAGCACACACTCACTGACACACTTTAGTGTCACACTCACACTAGGACACTAGCACACACTCGCTGACACACTTTAGTATCACACTCACACTAGGACACTAGCGCACACTCACTGACACACTTTAGTATCACACTCACACTAGGACACTAGCACACACTCACTGACACACTCTAGTATCACACTCACACTAGGACACTAGCACACACTCACTGACACACTTTAGTATCACACTCACACTAGGACACTAGCACACACTCACTGACACACTTTAGTGTCACACTTACACTAGGACACTAGCGCACACTCACTGACACACTTTAGTATCACACTCACACTAGGACACTAGCACACACTCACTGACACACTTTAGTGTCACACTCACACTGGGGCACTAGCACACACTCACTGACACACTTTAGTGTCACACTCACACTGGGACACTAGCACACACTCACTGACACACTTTAGTATCACACTCACACTGGGACACTGGCACACACTGACACACTTTAGTATCACTCACACTGGTAACTGGCACACACTGCCACACTTTAGTGTCACACTCACGCTAGGACAATGGCACACACCCATACCGACACACACGCACATTAACACGCGAAGTAACGCACACACATTGACACAGTGGTACATGCACACGACAAATACAAAGATCCTCCCTAAAGCCTGAACAGGCAAGTGTTGTTGGGGCAGGTGTTGTTGGGGCAGGTGTTGTTGGGGCAGGTGTTGTTGGGGAAAGTGTTGTTGGGGCAAGTGTTGTTGGGGCAGGTGTTGTTGGGGCAGGTGTTGTTGGGGCAAGTGTTGTTGGGGCAAGTGTTGTTGGGGCAAGTGTTGTTGGGGCAGGTGTTGTTGGGGCAGGTGTTGTTGGGGCAAGTGTTGTTGGGGCAAGTGTTGTTGGGGCAGGTGTTGTTGGGGCAAGTGTTGTTGGGGCAGGTGTTGTTGGGGCAGGTGTTGTTGGGGCAGGTGTTGTTGGGGCAGGTGTTGTTGGGGCAGGTGTTGTTGGGGCAGGTGTTGTTGGGGAAAGTGTTGTTGGGGCAGGTGTTGTTGGGGCAGGTGTTGTTGGGGCAAGTGTTGTTGGGGCAAGTGTTGTTGGGGCAGGTGTTGTTGGGGCAGGTGTTGTTGGGGCAGGTGTTGTTGGGGCAAGTGTTATTGGGGCAGGTGTTGTTGGGGCAAGTGTTGTTGGGGCAAGTGTTGTTGGGGCAAGTGTTGTTGGGGCAGGTGTTGTTGGGGCAGGTGTTGTTGGGGCAAGTGTTGTTGGGGCAGGTGTTGTTGGGGCAAGTGTTGTTGGGGCAAGTGTTGTTGGGGCAAGCGTTGTTGGGGCAAGCGTTGTTGGGGCAGGTGTTGTTGGGGCAAGTGTTGTTGGGACAAGTGTTGTTGGGGCAAGTGTTGTTGGGGCAGGTGTTGTTGGGACAAGTGTTGTGGGGCAAGTGTTGTTGGGGCAGGTGTTGTTGGGGCAAGTGTTGTTGGGGCAAGTGTTGTTGGGGCAGGTGTTGTTGGGGCAAGTGTTGTTGGGGCAAGTGTTGTTGGGGCAAGTGTTGTTGGGGCAAGTGTTGTTAGCGAGCACCTCTGGTACAGAAACACGAGGCGGCGGTATGGCCAGCACTGTGCCCCACCGCCGCCTTTGTCCTCATCGACGACGATGTTTTACACATCGCACCAGGAACTCATTTGAAGCTCAGTTGATCTAGGGGAGGCCCCAGCACCCGTTCAGACGATTACCGCTGATCTTAGCCGAAATCGAACCTGGACGGCGGGGTTCGTAGCGCAGTGCGCTGACTACATCACTACCGCCCCCCTCCCCAACAAACAGCAGTACACACAACACACACGCACACAGAAACACACACACTCACCTCGTAACCTCCACGCGTGTCCCTCACTCCTCCCGTCGCGGGGTTCGATCGAACCTGAACACTTGACACTCCGGGGCGAGGCAGAGCCGAGGTGCAGGGAAGAGACCACGATCCCATGAGCACCGCCACCACCATCATCAGCAGCCTCAGCTTCATGATCATCTGAGCCGCCTTCAAAGGAGTCGCCGTGGCTCTCAGTGAGCTGACCTCATGCCTGACCCTGCTAGTTCCCACGATGACGATGGCAGTGACAGCGGTGATGATGACGACGGCGGGAGTGATGGTCGTGGTGATGGTCGTGGTGATGGTGGTGATGATGATGATGGAAGATAGCAGCGGGGCGATGGTGCAGGCAGAGCCACGAGGATGAGAATCCGCATGGCTCGACATCCGGCGGCGAGGTCACCTTGGTCGAGTCGGATCGAGGCGAGAGGAATTCGCGGTGCTCAGTGGCGTCTGGGGGCCGCTCTCACCGGGCGAGTCTCCGCCGTGAAGCGCCGCAAGGGAACTGGAGGAGAGAGAGGGCGCGGAGCAGGCTCCGGACAGAGAGGTAGCGAACAGCTGGGAGGCTCGTGATGTGGTGGCCGGTAATGTGGAGGACAGTGATGTAGTCGACGATGATGATGATGGCACCGGTGATGCGATTATGGAGATGCTGATGTGGTGGTGTTGGTGGTGATGATGATGATGGGACCGGTAATGTGGTGGTGATGATGAGACCTGTGATGATGTGGTGGTGATGATGGGACCGGTGATGTGGTGGTGATGATGGGACCGGTGATGTGGTGGTGATGATGGGACCTGTGATGATGTGGTGGTGGTGATGGGACAGGTGATGTGGTGGTTATGATGGGACAGGTGATGTGGTGGTGATGATGGGACCGGTGATGTGGTGGTGATGATGGGACCGGTGATGCGGTGGTGATGATGAGACCGGTGATGCGATGGTGATGATGGGACCGGTGATGATGTGGTGGTGATGGGACCGGTGATGATGTGGTGGTGATGGGACCGGTGATGATGTGGTGGTGATGTTGATGATGGGGCCGGTGATGATGTGGTGGTGATGGTGATGATGAGACCGGCGATGTGGCGATGTCTCCACAGGTCTCGCCCGCAGCAGGAGTGAGAGGCACTACTTGCACTGCCCACTTTTACGCTCAGTGCGGACCCCCCTCCCCCCACTGCCTCCTCCCCCCCACCCCCTCCTCTAACACCCCCCCCCCCCCCGTCGGTGCCAAAAACCCTTGGCGGCCAGCAGCGGAAACGTGCGGTGGAAATAGCGGAGAAGGGAGGAGGAGAGAGGACGCAGAAGGGAGGAGAGGGGAGACGGGAGGAGGGACGAGAGGGAGGAGGTCTGAGGAGTGCAGGAAGAAAGGGGCGAGGGGAGAGGAAGGAGAGGAGCGGGAGGAGAGGGGAGGATGTGGATGCAGTGGAGGAGAGGACATCGAGTCGACGGAGAGATGACGAAGATGCTGATGATGCTTCAGCTGCTGCTCATCACATGGTGATGCTGCTGCTGCTGACGTTGACCTAAGTCAACCCTGACCTGCACATAAACTCAATCCCAGAAATGTTTACGCAAGCGATCGTTACTGTCGCTGTAAACAATACAATTAAGACTATCAAACCTTTTAAAACTCGCACGAGAATCATCACGCGCGCCTGTGCGCAGCCATTCATTTCACCCGGGGCTGCTCCGGGTCGGCGACGGCACACCACATCCAGTATACCCCGCCCTGCCTTCCTTCGCTATGGCTGCGGCTGCTAGTCACGTTCCCGCTCCAGTCTGGCAGTGACCCAGACGAGACCTAGCGAGACATTCGATGCCTGTCCGTACCTCCACGCGTCAGCCTCACGCGTCCACAGCACAACCCGAGTGACGTTCGCGCGCTTCACGATCAAGCCGCGGTCCGTTCCACCGTCGGATGAAGACCTTCCCGAGCCGCCGCTGCCATCAACTCGCTCTCCTGCGACGCAACAATCCACCGAGCTGACCTCATCGCTCCATCTCCTCGATGGACTGACTGTCGGGAGCGTTTCCCTTCCCTCCTTCGGCTGCCACTCCGCCGTTGCGAACGAAACTGTTGTCCTTTCAACCCGTGACCCTATTATAATTTTAAACTATTTTATTTTTATTTTACCAGGAAAGCCCCACTGCGCTACACAGTGGCTTATCATCGTGTTGAAATGTAAAGCAGCCAAATACTCGACTCTTAAACGCGTGATGTTGATTCTCAATGTGGAAGGGGTGAAAAAGCCGAAGGACCCAGAGAAAAATCCACGCGACCACGGGAAAAGAGAGAGAAAGACACGCAAACTCCAAATATACAGCAGGCGTCAGGGTCGGGGGTCGAACCCACTACCTCCCGTATACCAGGCGAGGGAGTTAACATCTCACCACCTGATTTGCTTCATTGCTGTAACTTTATTTTCTTTCGTTTTGCTTTTGTCAGTTTGGTGAACCCCAGGTCAGTCGCTCTTGCGAATGAGACTCATAGCTGGTCACTTTTGAGTTCTCAGCCTGGTTAAACAGAACAATTAACTCAAACTCGCCGTCGTATGCATGCATGTCGAACGTCTTACGAAGCCAGCCGACAAGCAAAAGTAAACACAAAAAGTCAGTCCGAAAGAAATGTTCTCTCCAATACACGCGGTTCGTGTCGTGAGCAACTTCAGGCCCGCGCGCCTCTACAAAGGACGACGAAATATAATAAACTACATTTTAAAAAAAAATCCCCCTACTTAGGCCCGCATACCTGAGTGAAGTTAGCAATGTTAAGGATGGCGTGCGACAGTTAAGTTCAAGCAAATGTTACTTCGGTTTGACGTCACGTTTACATCCTGGGGAAAATTATAGCCAACACTGACCAGCTTCTGCAGGAATTCTCAATCGCAGGTCACGCGCGCGCCTTATCGTGAACACACACACACACTCGCCCACGCGCGCGCACACACTCATCCACAAAGACAAAGTCCCCCCCCCCCCCGTATAGCCTTTACAGACTTTTGGGGCAAGTGTTGTTAGCGAGTAGCACCTATGATGGGTGGCCAGCATCACGCCCCGATCGCCTTTGTCTCACGAGTGGCCACCAGGTACTCATTTGAGGCCGAGTCGACCCAGGGGAGGTCCAGGACCGGTTCAGATAATCGTCACTGGTGTTGGCCGTGAGCGGGAATCGAACTTGGGTGGACGGGTTCATAGAGCGAAGCACGCTAACCGCTGCACCACCGCTCTCCATACATCTACACACACGATCTCACCCACATACACAGGCTCATATATACACACACGCGCACTCATAAACATATACACACTCACCCACATAGGCATTTACACTGGCTCATACACAGATAAACATATACACAGACGCATGCATAACACACACAGGTACTCACATACACAAACATACACAGACGGAAACGCGCACACACACACAGACTACCGATCTCACCCAAATACACAAACACAGACGCATACACACAACGACAAAGATCCCCCATATAGCCTTTTAACAGATTTTTGGGGCAAGGGGTGTGCCGGGTGGGTGTGACCAACACCACCCCCGGCCGCCTTTGTCTCCCCAGTGCTGATATTCACACACTTTACCTGGCGCTCGTTTAAGGCTGAGTCGACCTAGGTGAAGACCGAGGACTGGGACCGGTTTCAAATAGTCTGCAACCGTGAACGGCAATCAAAACTCGAGTCGCCGGATTCGTAGCGCGGTGCGTTGACTACTGCACCACCACTCACGGACAAACCACAAATTCCCCTGGGCGCAGTTTAGCTGCGCCAGAGAGAGAGGGAGAGTGAGGGTGAAGCAAGGCCGTAGCCATGGAGTCAACATTGGGGGGGACCAAATCTTCCAGGGGGTCTGGGGATCCCCCCCCAGAAAAAAATCGAAATTTGAAAACGAATTTCCTGCCTAAAATATTTAAAAATTCACTTTACAATGTCTAATAGTGTATTGTATTAGATTGCTCTATTTTTTATTTGTTACCTTTATTGTTTCATTGTATGTAATGGCAGAGATTAGGGATTAATAAAGTACAACCATAACCACAATCACATAAACAGAAATATATTTTATAGCAATATATTGGGGGGGGACATTTTGAGCGTATTTGAATATTGGGGGGGATGTGTCCCGACGGCTAAGACACGGACGGGGGGCAAACTGCCTGCAGGTCGAGCGTCGGATTTCGTTCTCCGAAGGCCTTCTCTCTCTCTCTGCCCCCTTGTCCCAGTAGCCACTGGGTCCACTTGAGATTGTCTTCTTGAGCTTGATGGCAGCAGCGGCGGCAGAATGTTCAGGAGCGAGGTGCCCCCTCACCCCCAATGTCGAGGTGGTGGCCGGTGACGACGGCAAACACGGAGCCTGTGCCATAGCTTTGCGCAATAAGAATGGCCCCAAAAGTAACAACAACAACACATTCCCGAAGTAATGTTGTTGTTGTTGTTGTTGTCGATAAGTATTGTTATCAAGTCGCAGTGGCAATGAACGACTCTGAAGCAACGAGGGACGAAACGGGATCACATTTCGGTGTTGATGGACCAAACCAATCGATTTATTTGCCCACGTGACCATTTGATTTGATCGGCTCTGTTGGGTGGTGGAGATGTTACCGACCTCGCCTGGTATACAGGAGGTCGTGGGTTCGATCACGACAACCCTGACGCCTGCTGTATATTTGGAGTTTGCATGTTTTCTCCGCGATCGCGTGGACTTTTCTGTGGGTCCTCCGGTTTTCCTCTACAGCTAAACATTTCCAACATGATGACGAGCCATTTCGTTGAGCGACCATTTGTGACCATGTCGCTTCTGAAAAAGAGCTGCATAGCTCACTAGGCCGAACCTAATAAAATAAAATAAAGTTTTTATTAGTTTAAATTTAGTCCTCGTAAATGTTTATTAAATTATACACTCTATACGATCTAATCCAAAATAAACAAATTATGCATCATATGCTGGGAAAGCCTGCAACTAAAATTAACGGGGGGTAAGGATTCCCGTGCGGCTCTGAGCGTGTATCAGCATCTTGATGACACGCATTGGAATGTTTCGTGAGTGGCAAGGCAAGTCGGTGGACTGGGAACTGCGAACGAATGACCCGAGGTGGCCCATGTGGCTCAGAGGTCAGAGGGCCGAGCTGGCACCATTGAGCTCCTGGGTTTGACTCCAAGGTAGCTGCCCGTGACTAAAACCGAGTGTTCCCGTGTAGTGAGCTGTTGGTCTCATCCCCCGTTCTGTACGTATATTGAACTTCTTTCGCATCGCACGTAGGCAACGGTGCTAATCGGAGGTGCAGGGGAAGGACAACTAACTAATCACAGAAAGCAGTTCTAAAGAAATTAGTTTTCAAACCCATGACCAATAACTGCACACACAAACTACCGCATCAACATTTTTTCGGGATCAATTCCAGCAGAGCGAACGGGTAAGGTCCAGGTAGGGCCCACTGAGCTATTTAGCTCTTTTTCAGAAGCGGCCTGGCCACAAGTGATATTCCAATGAAGTGGCGTATCATCATATGGAAATTTATAGCAGCCAAATACTCTAAACGCGTGTTTTAAATATGGAGGGAAAACCCGGAGGACCCGAAAAAAATCCACGTGACCACGAGGAGAGCGAGAGACATGCAAACTCCAAATATACAGGTGTCAGGGTTGGGATGGAGCCCACGACCTCCTGTATACCAGGCGAGGTAGTTCACATCTCCTAGCCACCGTGGCGCCCCTACTTGAAGAGATCTCGGACGTAGTTCTGCGACATCCACTTCGGCGGGGCCGTTGCCCATCACGAAGGATTCGCGTACCAACTCTGCGAGAGATCCGAACGGATTCTTCGTCCAGTGACGGACGCGACGCCGATAACGCACTCGGGACGGAAATGGTCGGTAAATGATATATATTTATTTATTTTTTAAAAGCCTGGAAATAAATCGATAGAGGATGAGCGATTTGCGAACGAAAGAGTCGTAGACAGGGAGTGACCTTGATTTGAAGCTTCCGTGACTGCAGGAATCCACACTCTCTGGTTCTTTTGGAAAAGTCACGTAGACAGAATAAAAAATGAAAGAACACGACGTTTCGGTCGCAACACAAGCGTCCGTCATCACCTGATGATGATGATGATGATTATTTGTTCTGCCTACGTGACTTCACCGAAAGAACCAGAGAGAGTAGGGAGTGACCTCTTTCCCACACCGCAGTCCCAAGGCTGCTTGCTCCAATACCACCACCACCACCACCACTCCCAACCCATAAAATAAACCGCCTCCTACCCTGAGAAAGTATGAGAGCATGTAAACATCAGAGAGGAAAAAAAAACCTCGAGCGATCCCTATTCATAGCAGACGGCCAGAGCGGGTGCAGCTGTTGCTGTAGGGCTGCTGTAATTACTGAGCGCGGGCTTGCTGTGCTCGTTGAGAATGCTGTGCGCGCGTGAGCCCCGCGCGTGTACTCACTGACGAGCGCATTCACCAACAGCGCTTGCCCCAACAGTCTATAATGCTACAGGCGATACAAAGACAAATATCCCCCGTGTAGCCTGAACAGACTGTTGGAGCAAGTGCTGTTAGCGAGCACCTCTGAAGGCCGGCAACGGCACACCAAGGGGGTGGGTGGCCAACACCACGCCCGACTGCCTTTGTCTCCCCAGTGGCGATGTTTTACACGCCGCACCAGGTACTCATCTGAGGCCGAGTCGAACTAGGGGAGGCCCAGGACCGGTTCAGATAATCGTCACCGGTGTTGGCCGCGAGCGGGAATAGAACTCGGGTCGCCGGGTTCGTAGTGCAGCGTAGTGCTGACCGCTGCACCACCGCTCCCCACAACAGGCAACAGGCGGATACACTCTAAGGCAACAGTAGTATACATACGATGACCGTTTTTAGAGGTATTGAATGGGTTTGGAAGCTGATGGTACCCACTTTTTAAAACCACCACAGGCAATCCAACGAATTTACACTCACCTATGCTACCTGATAATGATGCTGTTAATGAGGATGTGATCACAATGATGTGATTATAAAGAAATCAATACACATATAAGTTATATGCAACAGTGCTTCTAATCTTTGAGATTTGTTTCCCCTTAAAAGTCTTAAGCACATGTATATATTCAAACTATTTAGTAAGCAGGAAATTAACTGTTGGCAAGACACACCCACACACGAAGATGACGATGACAGTTTAAAGATGTTGATGGGGTATTGGTGATGATGTAGGCGATGGTGCCGTAGGCAGCTATCGTGGCGACCGTTTTGTCGGTGATGGTGGCGGTGATGTAGGTGAAACATGTGCCGATGATGATGGTGCTGATGAGGCTTATGATGATCGTGTGATGGTCATGGTGACGGCAATGCAATGGGTAACGATGACGGTGGACTTGGTGAAAGCGATGGTAATGGTCGCAGGCGATGGTGATGATGATGCCCACTGGGAGAAGGAATGACAAGGTTTGATGATGGTGGCTGGCCGTAGATGGTGACAATGATTGTGGTGAACACAGAAGCGACACAGATCATGGTGATGATGATGATGGTGATGATGTTGGTGGTGACGGTCGTCCGATCGTTGCTGGTGAAAGTGAAGATAACGGTGGTGATGACTCAGTAGGTGACAGTGAAGAAACAGAGAGATTGAAGTAACAGTTTAACATACATTGTGTCGATCGTGATGATGGTGCTGGAGATGGTGTCAATGATGATCATGGGAATGATGATGACGATGAGGTGCTGTACGCGATGATGGTGCTGGAGATGGTGTCAATGATGATCATGGGAATGATGACGATGATGATGATGGTGCTGTACGCGATGATGGTGCTGGAGATGGTGTCAATGATGATCATGGGAATGATGATGATGACGATGATGGTGCTGTACGCGATGATGTCATCATTGACGGTTCCCATTCTGGGATTTCCAGCCCTTGGCTCGCTCGAAACCGTTGGTTCCGTTGCGGAAGTCTGAGATGGCCTCCTCAATCTCCTCCTGCGTGTTCATCACAAAGGGTCCTGCAGGACAAACATTGACATCAACACAAAGATCCCCCTTACAGCCTTTAACAGACTGTTGGAGCAAGTGCTACTATCGAGCACCCTATGAAGGCTGGCTCGGCACATGAGGGGGCGGGGGCGGGGGCAGGGGGCGGGTGGCCAGCACCTCGGGGCGATGTTTACACACCACACCAGGTAATAATTCGAGGCCGAGTCGACCTAGGGGAGGCCCACGACCTAGTGGAGGCCCACGACCGGTTCGGACAACACCAGTGGCGATTATAATCGCGAGCGGGTGTCGAAGCCGGGTCGCGCCGGGTACGTAGCGCAGTGGCGCTGACCGCTACGTGCCACAACTCCCACGTCGTGGTGCAGCGACGGTGCAGCGACGGCCTCGCAGTCTGGGCACGAGACGCCGCTGCCTCGCCGTGTACCGGTGGTGGAGGCGTCGTGTGGACGCGCAGCCCCTGCCAAAGGTGTCTGGGAGCCCTCTCTGACCCCGGAAGGGAAAATGTCTCCCACACCCTAAATTTAGCCACTGCAGAAATCCATACTGTTGTTGTTGATGGTGGTGGTGGTGGTGTCGTTGTTTACCGTGCTGCACGATCGGCTCCTTAAGAGGTTCCCCAGCCACGAGCACGAAGTGAGCCTCCTCGCGATCCTCGGGCACGGGAAACGTTGACGTGTGGCGGGCACGGGGAGACGTGGGGAGATGTGGGGAGACGCGGGGAGATGTGGGGAGATGTGGGGAGACGTGGGGAGACGTGGAGAGATGTGGGGAGACGTGGGGTGATGTGGGGAGACGTGGGGATACGCGGGGAGATGTGGGGAGACGTGGAGAGATGTGGGGAGACGCGGGGAGACGCGGAGAGACGTGGGGAGACGTGGGGAGATGTGGAGAGATGTGGGGAGACGTGGAGAGACGTGGGGAGACGCGGGGAGACGTGGGGAGACGCGGGGAGACGTGGGGAGACGTGGAGAGATGTGGGGAGACGTGGGGAGACGCGGGGAGACGTGGGGTAATGTGGCGAGATGCAGGAGACGTGGAGAGACACACATTAATTGCGTTAAACATGTGAAACATTGGAAACACATGAGATATTAAACACAAGAAACGTGCGCAACACACAAAATATGTTAACCATGCCAAATGTTGTCTCTTTGTTATGTCATAAGCCAAAATCAGGCCTGGATTTAATTACAGACTCTCAATGGCAGTGGAGAGTGATTGGCCGTTAAGTCTGTAATCGTTAGTCTGTAGTCATGAGGTGGTGGTCGTGAAGTAAATATCCGCTTATAGTTGGTAATTTGGTGGTGGTCATGAGTCAGTATTAGCGAGGTGTTGATCGTTGGTGGTGTGTTCGGTGCTCGTCGTCAGGCGGTCGGGCACCTGGTTCTGCATGATCACGTGGTCTCCGTCCCCCAGCACCACGGTGTGATGCGCTTCCACTCGCTGCTCCGCTCCCACAGGGCCTGCCAGAGGCAGCGGCAACATTGGGGATCATCAGCACGGCAAGTTCAGAACATCCAAGCGCCCGCCTACCAATCCCTCTCTCTCACCCCCTCCCCCCACCGACGCGAACTCTGCGGTGGACATAGACGGATGTGGGTAACCGTGAGCATAATCACCGAGTCGCCAGTGGATTTTCGCATGATCACAGAATGCCCGACCAATCGGAGGGCTGTGATTAGGACGCAAATAATGGGTGCACCTTCCTGGGTAAGGACGTACTCGGATGAAAGCCCTCGTTCGTCCACGCTGGGATGGTGGTGGTGGTGCAATAATTATCATTCGGGTCATTGACCCATCGAATTATTCCATATTTGTAACACTCCAGGTAACCAATCTTCAGTGACAGACTGAGCCTGTAATACGACGATTTCAGTAAGAATAATAATTATACAAATTTTGACCACCCGCATCTCCCCCTCTCCCAAAGTCACCAACTTTCTGGAGCCGCCCCTCTGCGTAACGTGGGACGAGAGCGCCTCTCTCCCTCCTCACCATCGCTCCCATGGTGGCAACTCAACCACAAAGCCTTGACAGGCTGTTGGGGCAAGTGCCGTTCGCGAGCACACTCACTCAATCACAAAGATCCCCCGTATAGCCTTAACATAATGTTGGGGCAAGTGCTGTTGGCGAGCACCTATGAAGGCCGGCACGCACACGAAGGGGTGGGTGACCAACACCACGCGCGACTGCATTTGTCTCCCTCGTGGTAATGTTTACACAGCGCACCGGGTACTCATTTGAGGCTGAGTCGACCTAGGGGAGGCCCACGACCGGTTCAGATAATCGTCACTGGTGTTGGCCGTGAGCGGGAATCGAACTCGGGTGGCCGGGTTCGTAGAGCAGCGTAGCGCTAACCGCAACACTACTACTACACTCACATACACACACTCGCATACACACACAGACACACACACAACAACAACCGCCATTCGCCACTAAGTGGCGATGACGTCACCACGACGCTTGCACCAGGCTATGTGCACCCTGAGGCCACGTGAAGTGTCGAACGCCCGCTGGCAGGTCACGGGGCAGACCCAGGTGCCACGGGTCGACTGACTGAGATGACTGGCTGATGCACCACCTGTGCCCCCTACTGTGCCAACCCGCTGTGCTTCAGCCACCCAGCGCTCCGCTCGTTGTTGTGAGCGTCGCTCCTCCGCCCTCCGTTGTTGTTGGAGGGCGACTACCTCCAACTGCCCAGTAGCGTCCTTCACGAGCCTCCTCCACAGAGGCCGATCTTGACACCGCTGGTACCAGTCATCGGCAAGTCCACTCAGCTCCACGTCCTCCTGTACCACATCACTCCATCTCTCTCTAGCCCGTGCCGCGCCCGTTTAGCCCCCTCAATCCGGCCGAACAAAAGCTGTTTCGGCATGCGGTGGCTGGACATGCGGGCTACATGACCCAGCCAACGCAGCCTTGCCCGCCGGAGGAGCTCACCGATGGGACCTTGCCCAGATCTTTCAAGGATTTGTGAGCTCCTCACACAATCCAGTCTGGTTAAACCCAGGATGGATCGTAGGCAGGCATAGAGAAGGGAGGGAATGAAAGTGGCCGAGAAGACCTGAAGCTTAGTGTGGAGCGACAGACCAGGTAGCTTCCACGCAGCGTTACGCAACCAATGAAAAGATATTGCCGCTCGACTGATTCGGAGTGAGACCTCTGCTGTTAAACTGGAGCCGGTCATAAGCACACTGCCCAGGTATGGGAAACTCTCCACTCTCTCCACAACTGCCCCATCACCGATTGGGAGTTGTGGGGGTGGAGTGTCGATGGTACAAAATACCCAGGCAGGTGCTAGTTTTGGTGGGGCTGATGGTAAGGCCCCACCTCTAAGTGGCATGCTCCAGTCTCAGCAGCAGCGTCTCCAACTCCTCCTCTGAATGAGCAGCTATTACCAAATCATCAGCATACATAACGTGGTTGAGCAATAGGGAGTCATCCCTTGATCGCACCCGGGCATCGATCAGCCTCCCATTATATCTGTACCATATGGAGATTCCCCCGGTACAGCTATTGAAGGCTTCACGAACTACGTGGTCAAAATAGATGTTAAATAATGTGGGAGCCAGAGGACATCCCTGTCGCACCCCAAGGTGTACAGGGAATGGCTCTGACTCCCGGCCACGTAGTTTTACCCGGGCCCGCTCACCATCATGAAGGTCCTTAATGATCGTGAACAAAGGGTCAGGTACTCCAAAAGCATGAAGAACCCAGAGCCCAGGCCTACTGATGGTATCATAGGCCTTGACCAGGTCAATAAAGCAGACATGTAGGTTTTGTTGGAATTCCCTACACCTCTGCTGTAGTAGACGGACAGAAAATATGGCATCTGTGCAGGATCGCCCTTTCCTGAAACCGCATTGGGGCTCCGCAAGCCTCTCCTCAGCGTGCCTGGCAAGGCGATGTTGAATAATCCTTGCCAGGATCTTTCCCGGCACACTGAGGAGTGAGATGCCCCTGTAGTTGTTACAGTCTGTGCGATCCCCCTTCTTAAAAAGGAGGACCACCAGGGCATCCTTCCAATCCTGCGGAACCCGTCCAGTGGTCCAGACTGTTGTTATGATGTCATATAGGGCAGTCTGTGCACAAACGCCACCCTCCCTCAGCATTTCGCTTGGGAGATCATCTCTGCCCGCTGCCTTTCCTGGTCTCAGACTCCGGATCGCCTTCAGTACTTCCTCAACAGATGACACCTCAGACAGCCACTCACAGGGGGTGACTTATTCTAATATTTGAGGCACCGCAGCCTCAGCAGGGTCATCCTCACTTTATGCCACGATGTTTTCCTGGCTGAGGGATTTTCCTTCCCCCAGGACCTCACAGAAATGCTCAGCAAATCTGCAAACCTGTTGCTCACTCTCACACACCCACTCTCACATACTCAGACTCTCACACTCTCCCACTCACATACACACACTCACATACACACACTCTCACACACTCACATACACACACTCACACACACACGTCCCCCCGATGTTCCCCACGACGCGCAGAGGCGACGTCGTGCCGTGTTGGACGCCACGTCACAACCCAAATCGCCACGTCACAACCCAAATCGTCACGTCACAACCCAAATCGCCACGTCACAACCCAAATCGCCACGTCACAATCCAAATCGCCACGTCACAGCCCAAATCGCCACGTCACAACCCAAATCGCCACGTCACAACCCAAATCGCCACGTCACAACCCAAATCGCCACGTCACAACCCAAATCGCCACGTCACAACCCAAATCGCCACGTCACAACCCAAATCGCACGTCACAACCCAAATCGCCACGTCACAGCCCAAATCGCCGTTGCCGCGAGCGACGGCGTTCCGGACGACGGCGCGCACGAGGCGGCGGTGAGGCTCACCCAGGGTCACGGAGCCTGCCAGCGTGTACACCATGCCGGTCCATCCTGCAAAGACAACGCGCATGTGCTGTGTCATCCGTTACGATTTCTGTTTGCAGGTCAACGGCAAATGATTTGTCCGCAAACTCGAGCCGCCCCCATCCCTTCGTGCCGGGGGCATCTGACGGCACTTCAATGCCGCGATGAGCGGCTTATACGGCAGCTCCTCTCCACACGTGTGAAAGGGCACCAACCCCAGTGGCAATTTTCCTGTTGCGGCAGAAGGTGACTCGGCACCGGCCTGCGATGTTGGCTGCTGGTGCTGTGTCATCGGCATCCAGTCACTCGCGCGTCGTTTTCGGCCCACGGGCAGGAATGAGGAGCGTTTGACGATGGGGGAAAATGTCCCCCACCCCGACCCCCGGTCATCGCCCCCTACCTCCTGGATCCGCCACCGCTGCCACGTGCATCTCAAACAATCCGTCTCCTTACCGTGACCCACCACCACACTGCCCCCTGCCCCTCCTGCAGTTCAGTTCATGAGAAATCGAGTTTATCAGAAATACAGCCTGGGCGCCACATTTCCACCCCCCCCCCCGCCCCCCCGAGTACTCGGTCTGCTATTCCTCCCACACGACAAGCGTGGAATTGGCCAAAACTACCCAAACGAGCTGGCGCAATTACGTCGAGTGATGGGCGAAGACTTTTTTACTCTTTATTTCTGGTCATTTACTCGGGGCACCGTTGAAAATGGCAGCTGCCCCCACGTCCAAGTGCCCCCCGAAGGAGGGAAACCCCCCGACAAGCCACGCCCGGCGAGACGTGGCTGACGATGCCGATGGCACACCCAAGCCCTGATCATCACCGGTCATTTTCTTCCAACCATTTTCATTTTATCCGATTGTTCGACGAATCAACCGTCTCCCTTTATGACTTCACCTCCCTCCATCCCATGCGCCCCCCCAACCCTTCACTCGCTCGCATCTCTCCCTCCCACTCTCACTCCCTCGCTCGCTCCATTCCCTCTCGAGCCCCCTTCCCGACCCTCGCCCCCCACGATCGCTGGCCGTGGTATCTCGCGATCGCGCTCCGGAGTAATTCGCGCCGCGTCTCCCGTGGCAGCAGCCCGGCCCCTGCGATGCCGTTCGCGGCTCGCCGAGATAAAGAAAAAATAGCCCAGACTCACGCCCCCACGGCACGGCCAAAACCACCACCACCACCGCCACCACCAAAACAACAACCAGACATAACCGCGTACTGCTGCGCTGCGGGGGGGGGGGCAGCAGCAACAGAGTACCACGTGTGTGTTTGTGTGTACGTGTGTTTGTGTGTACGTGTGTTTGTGTGTACATGTGTTTGTGTGTACGTGTGTTTGTGTGTACGTGTGTTTGTGTGTACATGTGTTTGTGTGTACGTGTGTTTGTGTGTACATGTGTTTGTGTGTGTACGTGTGTGTTTGTGTGTACGTGTGTGATTGTGTGTACGTGTGTGTGTTTGTGTGTACGTGTGTTTGTGTGTACACGTGTGTGTGTGTTTGTGCGGGAGTGTAGCGGTTAGCGCGCTGCGCTATGAACCCGGCGACCCGAGTTCGATTCCCGCTCACGGCCAACACCAGTGATGATTATCTGAACCGGTCCCGGGCCTTGCCTAGGTCGACTCAGCCTCAAATGAGTACCTGGTGCGGTGTGTAAACATCGCCACTGGGAAGGCAAAGGCGGTCGGGCGTGGTGCTGGCCACCCACCCCCTCGTGTACCGTTCCGGCCTTCATAGGTGCTCGCTAACAGCACTTGCCCCACAGTCTGTTAAGGCTACACGGGGGGTCTTTGTCTTTGTGTGTGCAGGAGCGACGCTCACAACAAACGAGCTGAACGCCGGGCGGCTAAACACGCAGCAAGTTGGCACAGGTGAGGTGGCGGTGGTGGTGGGGTGGGCACAGGTGATGGTGGGGGGGCACAGGTGATGGTGGTGGGGTGGGGCACAGGTGATGGTAGGGGGGGGCACAGGTGATGGTGGGGGGGCACAGGTGATGGTGGGGGGGCACAGGTGATGGTGGGGGGGTGGGGCACAGGTGATGGTGGGGGGGGCACAGGTGATGGTGGGGGGGGCACAGGTGATGGTGGGGGGGCACAGGTGATGGTGGGGGGGGGGCACAGGTGATAGTGGGGGGGCACAGGTGATGGTGATGGTGGGGGGGGGGCACAGGTGGTGGTGGTGGGGGGGGCACAGGTGGTTGTGGTGGGGGGGGCACAGGCAGTGGTGGTGGGGTGGGCACAGGTGATGGTGGTGGGGTGGGGCACAGGTGGTGGTGGGGTGGGGCACAGGTGATGGTGGTGGGGTGGGGCACAGGTTATGGTGGTGGGGTGGGGCACAGGTGATGGTGAGGGGGGCACAGGTGATGGTGGGGGGCACAGGTGATGCACCTGCCAATCATTTCACTCAACCCGGGGCACCGGGGGTCTTCCCCGTGACCTCCTTCGAGTGAACATCGCCCGACGCCATGGTGACGTCCCTGCCACTTAGTGGCAAATGACGGTTGTTGTTGTTGTTATTGTTGTGCCGGAGGGGGGTGACTCAGCCTCAAATTAATACCTGGTGTGATGTGTAAACAAATGCGGCCGGGTGGTGGTGGTGGTGCTGGCCACCCACCCCCTCGTGTGCCGTGGTGGCCCTCATCGGCTGCTACTCGCTAATATGCCCTGTGCAGGCTACACAAGGCCATATTTGACTTTGCACCTGTGCGTGTGCGTTTGTGGCGCGCACACGAAGCGCACCTAGCTTGGCACAAGCGTCAACCGTCGCTTAGCGGCGAACCGCGGCCACTGTTTTTGTGTTGGCACGCCGCGAACTCGGTGGCCTGACTTTGCTGGTCACGGCTCCAACCAATCTGTGCGGGTGGGGGGCCCTCCCTTGCGGGTGGGGGGCCCTCCCCACGATCATCAACTCCGGCTCGTCGATCAGCGCTCGGCTCGGTGCGGTGTGCAAACATCGGCACGGTGTGGCGGTGGCTGGGAGGGGGGGGGGGAGAGAGAGACAAGGTGGTGGGGCCGAGCGCGTGTGGTTTGCATTTTCTTTTTCACCGGCCACACCATCGTCACCTCGCCACGCGTCGGTGCTCGACTCACGAAAGCAACGCGTCGAGCCCCCAGCCACCGCAGCGGTCGACGTGGTGGGGTGCGGGGAGCCCGTTCGTTGCCTCGGTGTGTCTGGGTTCTCGAGGTCCCCGAGGTGTTTGTCTTTACTCTCTGATGGCATCTGGTTCTCGGTTTTGTGTTTTTTTGTTTTGTTTGCTCCCCCCCCCGCCCCTCCCTTAAAACTCAAATGAGTACGCACACGCACACAGATCCCCAGACCCACCCTGCCTCCACCCCAGTATAGGCTTAACAGACTGCTAGGGCAAGTGCTGTTAGCGAGCACCTATTGGTTGGCACGGCCCACGCGGGTGGGCGGCCAGCACCAGGCCCGCCCGCCCGCCCGCCTTCGTCTTCCCCACACTGCACCAGGTGCCCATTGAAAGGCCGGGTCGTGTGTGTGTGTGGGCAGGGGATGGGCAGAGGATGGAGCTGGGACACGGGGAAAGCCAACATTTAAAAAAATATATATATAATAAACCCCATGGAAAAGGGGGGAGAGAGGGGGAACAAAAATGATGAAAGAATAAAAATAAAATTGCCGCTTGCACACAACATCCGCTGGAGAGGGGGACTCAGTGGAAAACCCGCGCGCTGGCACACAGACGCGTACACATTCACATGCAGACACACACACACGCACACACATGCACCCATTCACATGCAGACACACACACACGCACACACGCGTACACATTCACATGCAGACACACACACACGCGCACACATGCACCCATTCACATGCAGACACACACACACGCACACATGCAGACACACACACATGCACCCATTCACATGCACCCATTCACATGCATACACACACACACAAACGCACATGCACCCGTCCACATGCAGACACACACACACACAAACGCACATGCACCCATTCACACACAAACGCACACGCGCACACACCGCACACACTCGTGCCAACACAGGCACACACAAATACCCCCTGGATATCCTTCACACAGACTGTTAGGGCAAGTGCTGTAAGCGAGTAGCATCTCTGAAGGCCGGCACGGAATAAGTGGGGGTGGGTGGCCAGCTCCACAACTGGCCGCCTTTGTCTCCCCAGTGGCGATGTTCACACACTGCACCAGACATCCATTTGAGGCCCAGGACCGTTTCCTATAATCGTCACTGGTGTTGGCCGTGAGCGAGAATTGAACCCAGATTAGCGGGTTTGTAGAGCAGCGCGCTCACCCATGCACACGCTCACCCATGCACACGCTCACCCATGCACACCCATGCACACGCACACACGCACACACGGCACCCAATCATGTCAGCACAAGCACACACAAATATCCCCGGAATATCCCCCGGGTAGCCTTTAACAGACTTTTCGGGGGCAAGTGCTGATGACGGGCACCTAACAAAGCCGGCACTCCACACGAGAGGGTGGGTGCACAACACCACGACCGTTGTTTCTGCCACTGCTGGCTGGTGTTTACACGCCACACCAGGTACTCATTTATTTCCGAGTGGACAAAGCGGAGGCCCAGCACAGATTCATAGACTCGTTTTCAGTCGTGAGCGGGAATCGAACTTGGGTGGTCGGGTTCGCAGCGCAGTGCGCTATCCACTACACTACCGCTCCCCGCACACACATACACCACACAGGTGCGCGCACAGATTTGTACGAACACACACAGATGTGTGTGTTCATACAAAGACAAACATCGCCCAAATAATCCACAAAGACTGCAGGGGCAAGTGGGAGATGGCATGACCAACACCATGCCATGTCCTACTGCTAATGTTTACCAGATGCTCATTTAAGGCTGAGCACATGTAGAGGAGGCCCACGACTGGTTCAAATATTACTCCCCACTGATGTTAGCCGTGGCTGGGAATCAAACCTAGATCGCCAGGTTCATAGCGCAGTAGGCTAGCCACGCTCGGTGCACATTGAGGCCACGTGAAGTATTGAAGGCTCGCTGGCAGGAGGTCACAGGACAGACCCAGGTGCCATGGGTTGACTGACTTAAGACGACTGGCAGATGTATATGCACACACGTGCACACTTGCACAAACACAAGTACACACTTGCACGCACTTGCACGCACAAACACAGCAGCAGGTCACACGTCACCAACAGCAAAGGAGGCCGCCGTCTGTACGCCGGACCACATGATCACCAGACCACATGTACAATCAGACCACATGAACGGCAAGACCACACCATTAACGGACCACACGTACACAGGCTCGCACGGCCAGTAGACCGCTAAAACGGCAGGCCACATCATCACACAGACGTCAACCAGGCCGCATAAACATCAGCGGTCAGGTTCACATCTCGACGGACTGGCAAAAACGCTTCGGCTTGGCAACGGGCCCCGCGAGCCGCTTACGGAGCGAAAAAAAAAGCACGTGGATCCGCCTGCAAATCGTCCATCCCACGCACGCACGTGCGCGAGATGGCACGAACCAGCGAGATGGCACGAACCAGCGAGATGGCACGCACGTGCGCGAGATGGCACGCACGTGCGCGAGATGGCACGAACCAGCGAGATGGCACGCACGTGCGCGAGATGGCACGAACCAGCGAGATGGCACGCACGTGCGCGAGATGGCACGAACCAGCGAGATGGCACGCACGTGCGCGAGATGGCACGAACCAGCGAGATGGCACGAACCAGCGAGATGGCACGCACGTGCGTGAGATGGCACGCACGTGCGCGAGATGGCACGCACGTGCGCGAGATGGCACGAACCAGCGGACCTCCCAGCGCACGACGCGACGGAGCGAGGAAACGCGAGGACGCCGAGCGGTGGCTCAGCTCCCAGGGATATTTTAAAAAAACGCACGCAAGCCGAGCGACATTTATGCACTCCCCCTTTGCTTTGTGCTTCTTTCATTTCGCGTGGCGCCAAGAGAGCTCAATCTTCTCGCCGAATGTTTTTTATCCACGCCGCCGGTAGACAGACCGCAGTCGGCGGGCACGCAACTACCACTCGTGGCCCGTGATACGGCGAGAGGGATACTGGATGCGGTGTGCTGGGCACAGGAATGTATGTACGTAAATTGACCTTCTTTCATACCTTACGTAGCCAACGATGCTAATCAGGGGTGCGTGGGAAGGACAGCAAACTAAACACAAAAAGCAGTTTCAAAGAAATGACTTTTCAATCTTGGAATGTTTTCTCGGGACGCGGACCCGGACAGACCGGGTGGAAACGAAGCCCTGGTGGTGCCTCACCGGGGCGCCTGGGTTCACTCCAACACCATACCGCCACCGTCGACCGTCCACGTCCCGTTACGGAGTGGGCGTCTGAGTTAACGCCTGAGCAGAATTTAAGTTTTGATAAAAAAGAAACGGAATTGCTTGCAAATCACTCGCAGAATGAGGCCGATATCGTCGCAACTCAGAGGCAAAAGCAGAGGTTGATCCTTGGACAGTGCTCGGATGGGCAGTGAAATATGGTCAGGCAACCGCCGCAACTTGTGTGGCGTGGAGGGGGTCCCTCATCCAGCAGTGGATTGAAAAGGGGGCTGCACGCGTCCACACACAAACCGCAAAACAACGAAGCACGCTCGTCAACGACAAAAGCAACGGCACTTCTTTACAGCACGCAGACAGAGAGACAAGATGGTGTCTATGTGCTATGCAGAAGGGCCATTGCTTGAAACGTCAGCTAATGTATATATTTTTTCTTTTTAAGGCCACAGGGTCACTGACGGACGTGCCGAGTTATTTTTTGTTCATTCTTCTCGCGAGACCACCGCCAAGGCGGCAGCGGCGTCGCCAAGTAACCCGTTTCATTTTGACGGCGTCCGCAATTGATCGCTCAACCCGCGCGCACGCGACGGGCGGTCGGTTTTGACGCGGCAGCGCGACAGACCGCCGCGACGTTCAGCGGTGGAGGGATTTGGCCAAACGTCACCAAGCGAAAGCCTCTGGAAGAGAGGGCCCTGGGAATCGCGGGGGCGTCGCCGGAGTTACTGGAAGGGCGCGTCGTTACCCTGCGGCACGGGCTGGGAGTGCGTGGCGCCCTGCGCCAAGCGGAAGTCCAGGTACATCGTCGGCGTGCGGGTGTACACCTTGGACTGCTCGCACGCGGACAAAGTGGGGAGACACGGGGAGTGGGAGACACGGGGCGTTATTGCCAGCACCGATAATGCTCACTCGTTCATCCACCTGCTCGCTCGCCCATCTACCCATTTTTATTGTTGGGTCACCCACAAAATTCGACATCCACCTGCTCACTCACTCACCCATCCACCGACTAAATCACCTGCCCATCCACTTGTTGACTCGCCCATTCCGTTCACTCAATTTCTTGTAACCCACTCAGTGAACCGCTCATTCGACCGCTTGCTCATTTGATCACCTGCTCAACCACTCATCCACCCGTGAAATCGCTCGCTCATCTACTCGTGTTCCCATCTGTCATCCATGCGCTTGTCCACTTGCTCGCCTGCTCCCCTACAGGACAAATTTCTCATCCGCCCGCTTGCTTGCTCGCTCGATCATCTTGTCAACCGCGCGTCCACGCGTTAAATCACTTGTCCCCTTGCTCGACTACTTATCCACCCGCTCGATCCTGTATCTAAACGGGGCTGCCCTCGCGTTAACGGGGCTGCTGGCCGGTGGAGGGGTGGAAGGGTGGGTGGGGGGGTTGCGTTTTACGGTAGACATTAATCTCGCCCGCGCCGGAGACGCGGTGTTTATTTGGCTTCGTGCGGGTGGTCCGGCGACTCGTCAATTCAGCTGACCACGGCGGTAACCCCTGACCCCGAGAGGTCGCCCCCTCAAACCGCATTGTCTCTGCTGCCGGCCGAGATAACAAAACGAAAATAAGGGAAAGCTCCCGAAATTACCGACGGCTCTCGGCACTCGAACTGAAAACGAGCATCAGGGTCAACGGATGAGCCCACTATTTTTTTCAAGGGAGGACAAAACACCTCCCAGTTTATGTTGATGAGTTTGATCGGAATCAAACGTGGCTTTCCGATGGATCGACTGGCCTCCACCATGGGAGTGCGGAATATCCACCACTGGCTCAGAGCCCACCGATGGCGATGAGCGAATGCCCAAATGTTTGAACAAATAAACCTTCTGATTGGACTTGATACCGAATATATACACGACTGTGACTGGACGACCGAGTCTAACGGTGTTCTGGAAGGTTTAGAAATTTGCCATGTGACAAAAATGCAGTTGAGTCTGTTAATGAGTCGAAAAAAAATGTAAAAACCAACATTCTCAAATCTTGAGCCCACTCACAAATTACTGTCCAGAGGCAGAGTGTTTTCACTCAAGTGGGCAGCGTTGCTCTAAAAGATCTCAAAACATACGAACCTCATCCTCGGTGAACCGAGCAATTTGCCTGCCATGGAGTGTGACGCTGAAGTCAATTACCATTACCACGACGAGTACAGCACACGTGTTGACATATACCATCATAGATACAAACGTGCCGATATGTGAATTGAAGGTGCAACGCTTAACCAACCCCAGCTCCGGCAAATTGCTGAATTGTCCAGATTCAGGGTCTCCATTCGTTTAATTAAGGTCGGATTCTTTTTTATACAAACACGGCGTCAAATAGTAGTAGAGCCTCCAGTGGCTGCTCCAGGGTTGATGCGAACCCACTGCATACAACAACAACAAATACAAAGGCCGCAACAGCCTTGTGGGGCTGTCAGTTCGCGCCTACCAAGACCGGCACTGCACACGAGGGGGTGGGTGGCTAGCACCATGCCCCGGCCGCCTTTGTCTCCTTTGTGGAAATGCTTACGCACCACGCCAGGTATTCTTTGGAGGCCACGTCGACTTAGGGGAAGCCCGGGACCAACTTAGAAATTCTTCACTGGTTTTGGCCGTGAGCGGGAGTCTAACTCGGGTTGCCGGCTTCGTAGTGCAGCCCGCTAACCGCTACGCCACCGCTCCACGCGCGCATACAACAACAGACACAAACTGAGAATCATTTAATATCGTTTACGCACGCGATCAAGGCGCGTATCGTGATCTTGAAAATGCATCTCAATCCATGAATCGATCCGTCATGCCACCCCGGGATTTGCGCGCACGAAGCCCAAGCGCTTATTTTTTTTCAGCTCTGACCTCGGCCGGGGCTCGCTTGATCGGCGCACAAATGAACCTTCGGAGGTGGTGGCAGCGTCTCCGAATGGTTCGCGGCACAACAGGAAGACCCCCGGCGTGCTGTGCGCACGATGGCAGCAGTGTCATGGCCACCGGATCAAAAATAGCTGAATGCGCACGGCCGTTTTGTTTATAGGCATCAAGGAGAACAACAAGAACTTGCGTATTCCCTTTAACTCGCTTGCGAGTCATTTAATCCGCGTGTTCCTCTTCCCGTCTCCCAGCGGAATTCTAAGCACGCACCTCTCCGTGCTTCTCCGCGCACTTTTTCAGCCGTTGCCCCATTTTGCAATTGTCAGCGGCCCTGTTTCTGAGCCGTACACGTCACACCGATTACACATGTTCTCCTTTGGCACAACGATACGTTTCTATTCTGTTATCAGGTTCAGATTTACAAGAGCGCTCCACCCTGCACTCATCTCTAGCCTCTTCATTTCATCGTTTTCATCCCCGGTCTACCTTCAGTATCTGTCCTCGGTAGACAAAGACAAAGATCCCCCCCGTGTAGCCTTACCAGACTGTAGGGGCAAGTGCTGTTAGCGAGTAGCACCTATGAAGGCCGGCACGGCACACGAGAGGATGGGTGGCCAACACCACGCCCGCCTTTGTCTCCCCAGTGGTCATGTTTACACATCGCACCAGGTACTCATTTGAGGCTGAGTCGACCTAGGAGAGGCCCATGACAGGTTCAGATAATCGTCAATGGCATTGGCCGGGAGCGGGAATCCAATCTTGGGTCGCTGGGTTCGTAGCGCAGGGCGCTAATCACTACACTACCGCTTCCCACATGCACGCACTCACACACACACATATATTTCACTGTGTGTTCCAGTTGTGTGCTTCTGGCAGACACTTCCACTCGTTCAGTGAACTCGCTGTTGTACGTGACCTTTGTGTTGCTCGTATTGATCTTGAGCCCCACTTTGCAGCCCTCTTTATTAAGCTCCACTTCAATCGTTCCCTTCACCGTAGCTTTGTACCCCGTGCCATCTACGACACCTTTCTCTGCACGTATTATGAACGATTTTAGCTCTGCTGATCACATCTGGATTCGAATTAACGACGTCCATTTCGCCTACACCAAATAATTAATCGTGCCTTACGGGAACACGACAACGAGTAACAGGTGGGCCGCGAGAAGGGGCTACTGTCTCCCAATGTGACTCTGGCCAAGCAACCCAAACTATCGATCATATAATATATATTTTTGGTTTGACCACGTAAGGCCTACAGAGCTGTGTAGCCCTTTTTAAAAAGCGACCTGGCCACAAGCTCAACGAAGCTGCTCATCGTGTGGAAATGTACAGCAGCCAAAATACTCGAAACGCGACGTTGATTCTAAATGCGGCGGGGGAAAACCTGGAGGACCCGGAGAAAAACCAACGCTGCCACGGGTGGGGATCGAACACACGTACCCCCCGTACACAAGGAGACGTTGTTACCAGCTCGCCACCGTGGCGCCCAACGGAGGAACAGCAAAACGAAACAAACCCTCTCCCGTAGCTCTCTCGTGGCTAGCAGACCTCGCCACTGGCATTTAGCTCCTGAACAAATTGCTGCCATACGCAAGAATAAAAAACAATAAAAGTGTTGTGCTACCCGGCACACAGTATTACGGCCAATGCATTTTCTCACCAGTTGGAGCAAGCACTAGAATTTGTTTAGGTATTACTCTGTTCATAGGTGGCCACACGGCTGGGAGAACCAGAGAACAGAGCTGACACCGCTGGGATCCTGGGTTTGAATCCAGACTTCAGCCACTTCTGACCGAAACTGGAATCTCCCGAGTGTAGTGAGTTGATGGTCTCAGCCCGTTCAACGATGACCGCACTAAAAAAAAAAACCCATGGCGATCAACAATGCGCCTCCGCACTTTATTTGGTTAAATTCCAGCCCCGAGAATGAAAACATCGGGTCGGCCATCACGCGACGAACATTAACTCTCGTGTGCGGAGCGAGTGGGAAAGCGCTGCCCTCTGCTGCGTGAAAACCCGAGGATCGCTTGACAGGATCTCTGAAGAGGCAGCTTGGCGGCAGCCGCTTCTGTGGGCCGTTCTCCAACACGGAGTGTGAGCAACTGCTCTGCCGCGAGAGATTCCCGAAGGAATCTTCTCCTCGTCGCAGCCGCCGCCGCCGCCGTGCGACGCCGATAGCACGATCGGGGGGGGGGGGAATTGGGGGGGGTAAAACGACAAAATAGGAGGAAGGTACAACTCTCCGTGTAGCGGCCAGACGCACGTGCGTGGCGTAGGGGGCCCAGCGGGCTGCGCTCCGCTCCACAGGGCCCGGAGAGGGGGGGAGGGGGGGTAGAGACCGCGTCTGCTTTCACTTAAAAAGACACGGAGCAGGGGAGGCGAGGGTTTGGCAAAACTTACAAACAAAACCTCGCTGCCGTGTCACAATCCACCAGCTGCCCGGGGGCCCCAGGCCCCCAGACCACGAGCAGATGAAAAAAAGTTTAAATGTGCAAAGGAGGGCGAGACGGCGACAGAGATACTGTCTGGTGGCGCGCGCCTGTGATCCAGAGATTTGTGAGTTCATGGGCCCTATGTGAGTCTATGGAACCTGCGTGAGTCTATGGGACCTGTGTGAGTCTATGGGTCCTGTATGAGTCTATAGGTCCTGTGAGTCTATGGTCCTGTGTAAGTCCATGGGACCTGTGAGTCTATGGGTCCTGTGTGAGTCTATGGGTCCTGTGAGTCTATGGGTCCCGTGTCAGTCCATGGGACCTGTGAGTCTATGGGTCCTGTGTGAGTCTATGGGTCCTGTGTGAGTCTATGGGTCTATGTGTGAGTCTATAGGTCTCTGTGCGAGTCTATGGGTCTATGTGTGAGTCTATGGGTCTATGTGTGAGTCTATAGGTCTCTGTGTGAGTATATAGGTATCTGTGTGAGTCTATGGGTCTATGTGTGAGTCTATGGGTCCTGTGTGAGTCTATGGG